GGTGAAAGGATTGCTTGAACCCAGGTTTGAGACCAGCCTAGGCAACATAGCAAGACCTTGACTGTTATAAAACAATAAAAAAGTTAGGTGGGTGTCGTGATACACACCTATAGTCCCAGGCTCCTCCCAAAGTGCTAGGACTATAGATGTGCGCCACCATGCCCAGCTTATTTTTTAATTTTTTTATAGAAGGTCTCATCGTGTTGCCCAGGCTGGTCTTGAACCCCTGGGCTCAAGCAGTCCTCCTGCCTCGGCCTCTCAAAATGGAGGGATTACAGGCATGAGCTACCCCATCCAGTCCAAAGTTTTAATTTCTGACTTAAACAGTCATATGTATTTTTAAGAAATTAAGAAAAAAAGGAGCCTTTTATATTTACCCAATTATTTGCCATTTGTGGTGCTCTTCATTCTTTGTTGAATTCTACATTTGATATTATTCCTACTCAGTCTAAAGAACTTCCTTTAGCATTTCTTATAGTACAGGTCTGCTGACAGCAAATTCTCAGTTTTTGTTTATGTCTTTCTTTTGCTTTCATTCTTGAAGGATATTTGTTTTCATTTTTTTTTTTTTTTTTTTTGAGTTGGAGTCTCACTCTGTCACTCAGACTGGAGTGCAGTGGCTGCTCCCGGTCACCTCAGCCTCGACCTGCTGGGCTCCGGTGATCCTTTCGCCTCAACCTTCCAAGTAGCTGGAACTATAGGCGTGCGCTACCATGCCCAGCTGATTTTTGATTTATTGTAGAGATGAGGTCTCGCCAAGTTGCCCAGGTGGGTCTCAAACCCGCAGGCTCAGGTAGTCCACTCACCTCAGCCTCCCAAAGGCACGGGATTACAGGACGAGCCACCAAGCCCAACTTGCTTTCATTCTTGAAGGATATTTTCATAGAATTTTACATGGACTTTTTTGACGTTTTAATGAAGTAATTTCACTGTAGCCTCTATTGTTTTTCTTTTTTTTCCCAAGAGTTGGAATCTCATTCTATCGCCCAATCTGGAGTGCAGTGGCACACTCACAGCCACCGCAGCCTCGACCTACTGGGCTTAGGTGATCCTTCCGCATCAGCTTTCCAAGTAACAGGAAATACAGGCATGCGCCACTACACCCGGCTAATTTTTTGATTTATCATAGAGACGTGGTCTCACCAAATTGCCCAGGCTGGTTTCAAACCCCTGGATGCAGGTAATCCTCTCACTTTGGGCTCCCAAAGTGCTTGTATTAAAGTGTGAGCCACCATGCCCAGCCTAACCGTTAACTGTTTTTTTCTATATATTTTTCATATTGAATACTTTCCACTGATCTGTCTTCAGGTTTATGACTCTTTTGTCATTTCCAATCGGCTGTTAATTTTTTTTATTTCATTTGATGTGTTTTTCAATTCTGTAGTTCCATTTTTATTTAATTTTTATTTTATTTATTTGTTTGTTTGTTTATTTATTTTTGTGTGTGTTGGAGTCTCACTCTGTTACCCAGACTGGAGTGCAGTGGCATGCTTTCAGCTACCACAGCCTTGGCCTGCTGGGCTCAGGCGATCCTTCTGCCTCAGCCTTCCAATTAGCTGGAACCACAGGCACACACCACCACACCCAGCTAATTTTTTGATGTATTATAGAGACGAGGTCTCACCAAATTGCCCAGGCTGGTCTCGAGCCCTTAGACTCAGGCAATCTTCTTGCCTCAGCCTCCCAAAGTGCTGAGATTACAGGTGTGAGCCACTGCGCCTGGGTCTATTTTTAATGTTTTTAATGTCTTGCTTTTTTTTTTTTGAGTCAGAGTCTCACTCTGTCACCCAGGCTGGAGTGCAGTGACTTGCTCACAACCACTGTAACCTCGACCTGCTGGACTCAGGCCATCCTTCCGCCTCAGCCTTCCAAGTAGCTGGAGGCACAGGCACGTGCTACCATGCCCAGCTAAGTTTTTGATTTATTTCAGAGATGAGGTCTTGCCATGTTGCTCAGGCTGGTCTCAAACCCCTGAGCTCAGACAATCCTCTCTCCTCCACCTCTCAAAGTGCTGGGATTATAGGCATGAGCCACCATGCCCAGCCTGGAGTTTTCATTTTTAATAAATGGTTTCTATATCTCTACTAGAGTTCTTTCTTGCTAATTTCATTATGAGCATATTTTCATTCAGGTCCTTGAAAATAGTCATATTTAAAAATGACATTTTAGGCTGCATGTGGTGGCTCAAGCCTGTAATCCCAGTACTTTGGGAGGGGGAGGCGAGAGGATTGCCTGAGCCCGCAGGTTTGAGAACAGCCTGGGCAACTTGGCAAGACCTTGTCTCTATGATACATCAAATAATTAGCTGGACGTGGTGGTGTGCACCTGTGGTTCCAGCTACCAGGAGGCTGAGGCAGAAGGATGGGCTGAGTCCAGCAGGTTGAGGCTGTGGTGGCCGTGAGCGTGCTACTGTACTCCAGTTTGGGCAACAAGAGTGAGACTCCAACTAAAAAAAAATAAGAAACAGGAAACAAATCCATTTTATTCTCCTTTTCTTTGTTTATTAGTATTTTTAAATAAGATTATATTGTAGAGACAGGGTCTCGTGATGTTACCCAGACTAGTCTTGAACTCCTGATCTCAAGTGATCTTTTCACCTTGGCCTCCCAAAGTGCTTTTGAGTGCTCGCCAGTTCTTTTTTTATGTTTTTATATATTTGGACACTCCCAGGAGTTTTTTTTTTTTTAATGTTTTGCACATGGTTTTTATTTTATTTTTTATTTTTTTGAGTCCAAGTCTCACTCTGTCACCCAGGCTGGAGTGCAGTGACACCCTCACAGCACTGCAACCTCTACCTGTTGGGTTTAGGCGTTCCTTCCACCTCAGCCTTCCAAGTAGCCACCATGCCTGACTGATTTTTTGGTTTATTGTAGAGACAAGGTCTCACCAAGTTGCCCAGGCTGGTCTTGAACCCAGGGGCTCGGGCAGTCCTCTTGCCTCTGCTTCCCAAAGTGCTGGGATTACAGGTATGAGTCACCACACCCGGCCAATGCACCTGGTTTTTTGTTGTTGTCGTGTTTTGGATTTGGTCCGGTGGAAGCCTCCTCTACTGGAGGCCTCAGCCTTCCTGATTCTGCCATCTTTTGCCTCTACCTTTTGCATTCTCAACCCACCTGAAGTCGATTTCTCTTACAGCTCATGCGTGGTCCTTCACAGTCCAGGAATGATTAAGTAGCTCCCTGGGTCATATGCTTTTCCTTTTGGGACTAGCAGGACCAAGAAAGGATCTTTGTGCCATCAATCTCCCAAAAAGTTATTTGATTCATTTTGATTGCTCCAGCTTGCTTAGATCTCAAGCCTATTTGTGAACCAGTTTTTTTAGATAAAATTTGCATAACAAAAAGCTTACTGTTTTAATTATTTTAAAGTGTACCCATTCAGTGGCAGCTTTTAGAATACTTACAATCTTGTATAGCCTCACCTCTATCAAATTCCAGAACATTTCATTTCCTCAATGCGAAACCCCATACCTTCTAGCTCCCTCCTTCCCCCAACCCCCGGGAACTCTGATCTTTCTGTCTCTCTGAATTTACCTATTCTGGATATTTCATATAAATGGATTCATGCAATATGTGGGCTTTTGTATCTGACTTCTTTCACTTAGCATCACCTTTTTAAGGTTCAACTGTGATATAGCATGTGTCAGGACATCATTAATTTTTGTGGCTGAATAACATCTCATTGTTTGAATATGCCACTTTTTTTTCCCACATTCATCCACTGATAAGCATCTGGGGTGTTTCCACTTTTGGATTGTTATGAATGATGTTGCCGTGAACATTTACGTACAAGCTTTTGTTTAAACACCTATTTTCAGGTTTGTTTTTGTTTTTTGGTTTTTTTTAGTCAGAGTCTCTGTCACCTTGGCTGGAGGAGTGCAGTGGCATACTCACAATCACTGAAGCTTTGACCTGCTGGGTTCAGGTGATCCTTCTGCCTCAGTCTTCCAAGTAGCTGGAACTACAGGAATGCCACCATGCCCGGCTAGTGTTTTGATTAATTTTAATTTTAATTTTTTTTGAGTTTGAGTCTCACTCCATCCCCCAGACTTGGAGTGCAGTGGCATGCTCATGGCCACTGCAGCCTTCACCTGTTGGGCTCAGGTGATCCTTCCGCCTCAGCCTTCCAAGTTGCTGGAATTACAGGCACATGCCACCACACCTGGCTAATTTTTTGATTTATTGTAGAAATGTGGTCTCACCGAGTTGCCCAGGCTGATCTAGAACCCTTGGGGTCAGGCAATCCTCTTGCCTCTGCCTCCCAAAATGCTGGGATTACTGGCATGAGCCACTGTGCCTGGCCTTACTACAATTCTCTTGACGTTAGCACAGTGTCTTTTGGACCCATTTTGGGGTGAGAGGTAGGGATGCTTGAACCTCCTGGCTGTAATCTGTACCCTATCACAAGAGGTAGAGGCTGTACTGAAGTCTTGTCCTCTTTTCTTCACTCCCAGCTTTGGTCTTTAATTGAATTCATTAGTATTTAATTAAAATTAGCCTCATTATGCCAGATGCGGTGGCTCACGCCTGTAATCCCAGCACTTTGGGAGATGGAGGTGAGAGGATTGCCTGAGCCCACAGATTCAAGACCAACCTGGGCAACATGTTGAGACCTCACATCTACAATAAATCAAAAAATTAGCTGGGTATGGTGGTGCACACCTGTAGTTCCAGCTACTTGTAAGGCTGGAGCAGAAGGATCACCTGAGCCCAGCAGGTCGAGGCTGCAGTGGGTGTGAGCATACACTGCACTCCAGTCTGGGCAACAGAGTGAGACTCCAACTCAAAAAACAAAACAAAAAATCAGCCTATAATGTCAGTGTTTGGCAGTGAATAGTTTTATACTATCTGTTCTCAGTTTATCCCTGAGTGTATCTTGAAGATATTTCACCTGAGTTATTGAATTGCTTTTTAAAAAAATTAATATTAAAAACTGAGTTAAATCCACATTTTCAAACCTCAGGAAGAAGATGTTAAAAACTTTAAGCAAACATCACAGTAATGGATCTCTGTCAGAAAAGTGAGACTGATTTAGAAAATAGTGAAAATAATGAAATTCAAAGCACAGAAGAAACAGAACTAACCTGTACTTGTCCAGATGAAAGAAGTGAAAAGAATCATGTCTGCTGTCTTCTCAGCATCAGTGACATCACGTGTGAACAAGATGAAAGAGCCGGCGAGTGTGTCATCGGAACCGGGTGGGAAGAAGCAGTGAGTATCTTCCTGGGTTAGCGCTCTGCACATCAGGGTTTTGATGCAGGCTCTTGTCCCAAGAAATAGTTAATATCACCAAAGAATGTAGAATCAATGAAATATAGAAACCCTTGGGACATGGCTGATGATAACAGCAGTACCTGTAATTGGGTATTTATGGCCACTTTCTATGTGGGTGGCACAGTGTTGAATGCTTTGGATACCTTAGTTCACTCAGGCTGTCAACATCCACATGGGGAGGTATTATTAGCAGCCTCACTTTCTGGATCAGGATACTGAGTCACCCGAAAGATGAAATAATGTGCCAAGATCACCCGGCCAGTGAGAAGCTGAGGCTGGGTTGACTCCCGCGGGGTCTCCTACACTGCAGAACCTGGGCTCCTTGTCCCCTGCGCTAAACTCTGGAAAGAATCGGGCTTTTTTTTCAGTGCTCTGTGGGCTTGTCTTAGGATCAATAATAGACTCCTACATTTACAACTACAAGGAAATTTGGTTTAATCCAACAATTAATCATAGGATTGGCTGGGCCCAGTGGCTCAAGCCTATAATCCCAGCACTTTGGGAGGCTGAGGAAGAGGATTGCTCAAGGCTTCGAGACCAGCTTGGGCAACTTGGCAAGACTTCATCTCTACAATAAATTAAAAAATTAGCCAGGTGTGGTGGTGCGTGCCTGTAGTTCTAGCTACTTGGAAGGCTGAGGCGGAAAGATAAAAAAAAAAAACCAAACAGACAAAAAGTAGGCTTGCCAGATTAAGCTAATGAAAACGTAGGATGCCGGGGTCAAAATGGCTGGCAGGCTGGCTGTTGCAGCATCAAGCCAGTAACTGGAAGGAATTTGAAAATGGTATTACAGTGCTGCAGGATTCAATAAATTGGGGTTAATGCGGGATGATACAATATATGAGGATGAAGATGTAAAAGAAGACATAAGAAAGCTTCCTAACCGGGCTCGGTGGCTCAGCCTGTCATCCCACGCCTTTGGGAGGCTGAGGTGAGTGGATTGCCTGAGCCCGCGGGTTCGAGACCCGCCTGGGCAGCGAGACCTCATCTCTACAATAAATCAAAAAATCAGCCGGGCGTGGTAGCGCATGCCTATAATTCCGGCCACTTGGAAGGCTGAGGCGGAAGGATCGTCGGAGCCCAGCAGGTCGAGGCTGCGGTGGCCGGGAGTGGCCACTGCACTCCAGGGCGACAGAGTGAGACTTAAACTCAAAAAAAAAAAAAAAAAGCTTCCTGAGAACCTTTATAATGACAGGATGTTTCACACTGAGAGAGCGCCGGACCTGACCAGGAGGCAGCAGATCTTGCCTAAAGAGCAGTGGACCAAATATGAAGAGGATAAATTCTACTTTGAATCATATCTGAAAGAGGTTATTTGGGAAAGAAGAGAAAGAGAAAAATGGGCAAAGAAGTAATCGTGTAGTTGAAATCTGTGGATGCAGCTATCCTCAAAGTATTTTTATGAAGGTGGTTAAACCTAAAATATACAATTTAAGAATTAATTGGTTGCAGACGTATTACTTTAAATAAATATCTATTGAAACCATAAAAAAAAAAGAATGCCCAGTAAATTTGAATTACAGATTTAAAAAACCACCTAATTTCTTTAGTATAAGTATGTCCCAAATAAGATCCTGTATTTTTATCTGGCAACCCTATTTTGGGAGGTTCTTATTGAGTCAGAGTCTCACTCAATTACCTAGGCTGGAATGCAGTAACATGATCACCACTCACCACAGCCTCGAACTCCTGGGCTCAGGTGATCTTCTGCCTCAGCCTCCCAAGTAGCTGGGACTATAAACACATGCCACCACACCTGACTTTTTTGATTTTTTTTATAGAGACATAAAGTATTTAGGATTAACAAATACTTTTGCTTAGTGTGACGCTAAAATGGGTATCACAAGTGTTTTTTTAAAAGGCGAGTCAATTTTAAGAAAAATATTGATGTAACTAGACTGCTAAATGGGGGTGTGGCCCCTAGAACTGGGGCCCCTAGACTTGTGGCCCTTGGCTAGGGGGTGACATGCCACTTTGTTTGCAGGTCCACGGCTGGGGAAAGACTTCTCCCACTGCCTGCATCTGGTCAAAGGGGAAGAAACTGAAAAAGGCCAGAGTCGGGGAAGGTGCTGGCAGCGGCTGCTTAGTCTGTGTCAGTCTCTCCCAAGGGAGCGTAGAGGCCAGGCCTCCTGTGGATGCTGGGAAACTGGAGGCCGGGGCTGTGGCAGGGGCAGGCAGGGAGAAGGATCGATGCAGCCCTTTGGAGATTCGGGAGGTCCCCCAGGACCCCAGCACTGCTTCCAGGGGTGTTGGCAACATCTGCTTTCCCACCTACATTCCTGGAGGAAAAAAAAGTCTGCAAATCAAGGAGTTTATTTGGTGCACAGAAGATTGGGCCGGCCCCGAGACCATTAGGGGTCAGGCTGTCAGGCACCCGGGCGCAGGCGTCAGCAGAGGGCTGCCTTCCAGGGCCCTCTTGGTTCTGCCTCCCCTGAAGCCTTTGCTCCCAAACAGCTTGGATGTGCAGGCGGTGAAGGTGCCGAGTGTGGAAAAGGCTGAGTGTGTGGCTTGTGCCTGTGGCTTGAAAACAGGTGACGAAAGAGGTGAAAAGAGACCCGGAGAGCGGGCAGAGCACCTGAAGGCCCATGACACGCTGCCCTGCCCTGCCCCAGCCTCGGCCGCCGACGCCAAGCAGTGCTGCCTGTGCTGGGCCCTCCTGCCCGAGAAGAGCCTGGCGTGCCCACCTGACACGAACCACCTTCGCTACCTCACCACTCTGCAGCTCCTGCAGAAAAAGGGAGTGCAGAACTACAAAGCCAAGTTCAAAGCCAAGGAGCTGAGGCCACCCATGGGCACCCAAAAGCACGTTCTCCCTGAGGCCAGCAGGACCCGAATGCTGGAGACCAAAGTGTTCCCAAGACCTCTGCTGCCGTCCCTCACAGTGAGCAGGGTTGTCATCCCAGTCTCCACCCACAGGGTCCTCTGAGCTGTCGCTAGAGTTCCTTGGAGTTAAATTCACCCTTTCCCTGTCTTCTCGCTCTCTCCCCCTCCCCCTTATCCCCCCCTTCACCGCCTCCTTTCTCCTCCATCCGCTTTCCCTCCTCTCCCCTCCTCTCTCTCTTTCTCTCCCCCGTCCCCCACCTTTTTTTTTGGTAGTAGACCTGGGGAGGGTGGAACCTTACTGGGCGGGTTTGTCATTTTTCTCTGAAAACCATACTCATGTGTAACCTGCTTCTGCTGCTTAGCCAGTCATGACATGCCAGCTGGTCATGCCAGCCCTGGCCTCTGCCTTGCCTCAGCTCCCAGTGGAAGCCACGTGGAAGGTGGGGAATCCAAGGGACCTCCCTCTGTGTTACCCATGCCAGTCCAAAGCCAAGGGCAGGGTGCTTTCTGCCTCACCATGATGCCTCCAGATAAGCACACTGGGCCGGTTTAGACCCAATGGCTTCCTGATCTTTGAACCAGGCAGATGTCTGTCTGCTGCCTTCTTTTCTCTTGCAATGAAGGTCTGAAGGATTGCTTTAATAGAAAACTTCAGCCTGTGTCCAAGTGGATATCCTCATGGCCAAGATGTCCAAGGCCTCACTTGTCCTGTGTGTCCCAGGTGTCATGCTCTTACATTGTGGCCATGGACACACTGTCCATCGCCTCCTGTGTCCAGGGTGTCACATCCTCGCATCGCAGCCTCGCACTAATCTCTGTGTCTGGGAATTTTAGTCACAGCTCCACAAAATCCAGCCTGGGAGTCGGCTTAAGAATCATTAGTTTTTTGGGAAAAAGCCACTGTGGTTATCGTCACCTCATGGGCTCCTCCAGTCTTACGATGTGCCTCCTTGGGAGGTCTCAAACTGACACTGATGGAATGGGACCATCGCCTTCCTCTGTCCTCCCTCTGCCCTCAGTTTATCCCAGGGCATATTCCTGAAGTTGTATCTAAATTAAACAACATTTGTAAATAAGTTATATATATTTCAAATACCAAGTGACGTGGACAAATGCGTCGACACCATTTTGTCATATGAGTAACCATTAAGCTGTTTTGTAAATACATAGTTTGGATTTGCTTAAGGTGAGTTGTACTTGAACCCTGGACTTTTTGTCCCCTAAATGATGGAGCAGACAGAATATATGACTTTATCTGTAAACCTCTGCTTTCCATAATTGGTCTTTGTAACATCTTGTCTGTTAGCCTAGGTCTTTTGTTTTGTTGGTTTGTTTTTAGAAACGCCAAAAATTAGCTGGGCGCAGTGGTTCATGCCTGTAATCCCAGCACTTTGGGAGGCGGAGGTGGAAGAATCGCCTTGGTCCAGGGGTTGGAGACCAGCCTGAGCAACTTGGTGAGACTTCGTCGCTACAATAAATCAAAAAATTAGTCAGGCGTGGTGATGCGTGCCTGTGGTTCCAGCTACTTGGAAGTCTGAGGCGGAAGGATCATCAGAGTCCAGCAGATCAAAGCTGGGGTGGCCGTGAGTGTGCCACTGCACTCCAGCCTGGATGCCAGAGTGAGACTCCAACTCGAAAAAAAGAAAAAAACACAGAAATATTGGCATGGCTGTAGTACAACAGTCATTAGAAAGTATATTTGCCTACTGAGGTTGGATTCTTCTTGCAGTCTAAAAGTCATTTTTAGGGTTCCCCCCTTTTTCCCTGAATAAAGAAACCATCTGGATTGTGTCCCCAAAAGTGGGCCCAGTTTCCCTCTGTTTCTGGCCACCTGGTGCTGTATGGGGACCTCCAGCTCTGCCTCCCACCTACATCAGTGGTTTTTTATGGCAACAGAACAGTGAATCAACTCAAAATGTAAGAATCCAGACTGAGCGTTGGCAGGGAGAGTGACTACCAGCCCCAAGAGGGTCCAGGCTCCACCTAGTCAGCCCCATGTACTCCCTTCTGATATCTTTAGGGCAGTTTGAAAAACACTAGTCTAGCCGCGTGGGGTGGCTCAGCCTGTAATCCCAGCACTTTGGGAGGCTGAGGTGAGAGGATTACCTGAGCCCACAGGTTCAAGATCAGTCTGGACAACTTGGCAGGACCTCATCTCTATAAGTAATCAAAAACTTAGCCAGGCGTGGTGGTGCACGTCTGTAGTCCCAGTTATTAGGAAGGTGGAAGGATTGCCTGAGCCCAGTAGGTGGAGGCTGCAGTGGCGGAGAGCATGCCACTGCACTTCAGCCTGGACGACAGAGTGAGACTCCAACTCAAAAAAGAAAAGAAAAGAAAACACTAGCCCAGGCACCACCCAGTCAGCCCCATGTACTTCCTTCTGAGATCTCAGGGCAGTTTGAAACACTAGTCTAGCCAGGCACGATGGCTCATCCTGTAATCCCAGCACTTTGGGAGGCTGAGGTGGGAAGATTGCTTGAGTCCAGGAACTCAAGACCAGCCTGGGCGACATGTATCTAAAAAAAAAAAAAAAAAAATTAGCTGGGTGTGGTAGCACATGCCTCTAGTTCCAGTACTCAGGGGGCTTACGTCAGAGGATTGCTTGAACCTAGGAGGGGTGCCTGCCACCACTGCACTCCAACCTGAGCAACAGAGTGAGACCTTGACTCAAAAAAAAAAACAAAAAAACAAGAGCCAGGCATGGTGACTCATGCCTATAATCCCAGCACTTTGGGAGGTGGTGAGAGGATTGCCTTAGCCCATGGATTCGAGACCAGCCTGGGCAACTTGGCAAGACCTCATCCCTACAATAAATCACAAAAATTAACTGGGCATGGTGGTGCATGCCTGTGGTTCCAGCTACTTGGAAGGATGAGACAGGAGGGTCACCTGAGCCCAGCAGGTCAGTCGACACTGGGGTGGCCATGAGTGTGCCACTGCTCTTCAGCCTGGGAAACAGAGTGAGACTTCAACTCAAAAAAAAGAAAAAATTAGCTAGGTGTGGTGGCACACACCTATGGTTCCAGCTACTTGGAAGGCTGAGGCAGAAGAATTGCCTGAGCCCAGCATGTCAAGGCTATGGTGGCCATGAGTGTGGCACTGCACTCCAGTCTGGACGACAGAGTGAAACTTTTACAAAAAAGAAAAAAAGAAAACACTAGTCTAAATTATACCAGACTATTTTTTCTTAAAAGTCTTTTCAAGGTAAGAGTTGTAAATTTTAAATTTTGGTGTAAACATATAATAATTTAGAATTAAAAGGAGGGTCAGCCTGAACAAAGAAAGGGCCCAAAGTTATAAAAGACTTGTAGTATTCTTTTTGAGTAAATAATTAGTTTAGCCAACAAAATACTGACAAGCAGACGCCTCTGTGTGTAGACTGAGAATGTTTTGCATTTGACCCTTCTCTGTTTAGGTCTTCAGGGACCCCATAGTTCCTCAGAATCATCTTTGCGTTAGCCCGGGTTTAGCTTGTTCCTCTGTGGGTAAAGTCGCTCTAGGCCGTATCCCAGTTTTTGTTCGGATGAGTTCAGGACATCCAAACTGGTCCTTCACTGTCCAAGTCTAGATAAAGGCTAAAGCTTAACAGAGTACAGTTTTCCATTGGGATTCTGAGTCACTAACAAAAACGTTTAGGGGAAGTCCTGCATCTTCAGAGTTAAGCAGTGCTCGCTTCAGCAGCACATATATTAAAATTGGAACGAAGCCGGGCTCGGTGGTTCAGCCTGTAATCCTGCGCCTTGGGAGGCTGAGGTGAGTGGATTGCCTGACCCCGCGGGTTCGAGACCCGCCTGG